ACACCACAACACAACCAGAACCTCCAAGTTGCTCTATATCTTTATCTATATCATCCATCATTTGCTCTTTTGTGGAGGCTTGATTCTATCCGTGGACACGTGAGAGACATTGATGGTGCATGAACAAACACTTTATTGAGATTGCTTAATTTTTCGATAGTTTCTTTCTATGTTCTTATCATGATAAATGGCATTATAGCATACTAATAAATCTGCAAAACTCCTGAGAATAATGACCTTTCAAACTTATAGCAATTGCTTCTGTTTAGTTGTATATATGATTCTTCTAATTTCTTTATGAGTCCCATGTGTAGCTTTCAAAAGTTGGCCATCGGAATGAAGAGATTTAATATTCAGTCTACAGTGGTGCATAAATACGAACCACAACTCCAGCAGCTCAAAGAGGCTTGTGATATGCCGAAGTTATGGTTCGCTTTTGGAACACCCATTTGTGCGAACGTAAACACTAAACTCACCTGGTTCAGATCTCTTTACGAGGATCAGGCTTCACAGTTAACACTGATACACATTACCAAACAAAACTTTTATTCATTTTACTTGTCCAAGAACTGTTGGAAATGATAGTTATCGACTTCTGATTGTCGCTTAAAATATGCTTTGGGCTACCCATACAGATTAAGCCGATAGATTATAACAAATGATAACAAAAAATCATTGAAAATGGGTACAATCATACTATAGTCCAGAGTAATTGACAGTTCATCTCTAACAAAAGTAATTGAATGATACCACTTCGTTTAGGACTACATACATGAGTCAAATAAGTGTGACAACACTGATAGGAAATACTAGCCGGAATTGTTGAATGTCACTCAGCTAATGTCAATAATCTTGGATTGAGAGTACAGAATCTTCGGAGTATTTTGTGTTGGACAATCGTGATATCCATGAAGGGCGCTCTGAATTTGGAGGCTTGTTTGGCCCAAACGTGGCATTCACGGATGGGGCTCTAAATTCGGAGTCCTTTTGTGTTGGCCAATCGTGTTATCCACGAAGGGCGCTCCGAATTCGGAGGCTTATTCGGCCCAAACGTGGCATTCATGGATGGGGCTCCGAATTCAGAGTCTTTTTGTGTTGGCCAATTGTGATATCCACGAAGGGCGCTCCGAATTCGGAGGCTTATTCGGCCCAAACGTGGCATTCACAGATGGGGCTCTGAATTCAGAGTCTTTTGTGTTGGGCAATCGTGATATCCACAGTGGGCGCTCCGGATTCGGAGGCTTATTCGGCCCAAACGTGGCATTCATGGATGGGGCTCCGAATTCGGAGCCTTTTATTCGCTACTAAACCATTATTAACCAGATTGAGGTAAGAAAGGGCTTTGCATTGGGGAATTGAAAGATGTATACATAACATTTTAACGAAAATTCAAAACAAGCTAGCGTGCCGTACAAGTTGACTTAATGATAAAATTTGTACAAATGTGTGGAATTCCAGGGGCGTGGCAAACTTTTCCTAGCCATGTCTTCGAGCCGATATGCCCCAGTTTCGGCGATTGAATCAACCTGATAAGAGTCATCCCAATTGGGGCCTAATTTTCCGTCAATCGAATTCTTAGTAGCAGGAAGCACTTTCTTAAGGACCAATTTTCCAAGCGTATAACGACGTAACTGTATGCACTGATTATATAATTTAGCGAGCTATTGCTGATATCGCGCCATGCAAGCAAGGGCACTATCTCGGCGTTCTTCAATCAGAGTCAAGTCCAAGGCCAACATCATGTCATTATGGCCCATGTCAAAAACCTTGGATTTCAGCGTGGGTAGGTCGATCTCCCGGGGGATAATTGCCTGGGTTCCAAAACACGAAGTGAACGGCGTTTCCCCAGTGGATCGCCTTAGAGTAGTGTGATGGGCCCACAACACACTGGGCAATTCTTCAACCCACCTGCCTTTGGCTTTTTCCAACCATTTCTTGATGCCGTCCAAGATCACTTTATTGGAGGCCTTCGCTTGACCGTTGCTTTGTGGACATGCTGGCGAGGAAAACTAGGGCCGAATACCATATGTGTTGCATAATTGCCGACAAATGCCACAATTGAATTGGGTGTCGTTGTTTGAGACAAGTGCTCTCGGTATGCCAAATCGTGTTATGATGTTTTTCCAAACAAAACACATCTCAAATATGAGTTAATGCCTCTGTTTCGGCCCATTTTGTAAAACAATCTGTTGTGACAATTAGGAATCACTTGTTCCCTGGAGCTCGTGGTAATGGTCCGATGACATCAAGTCCCCATTGAGCGAATAACCAAGGACTAGTGATAGAGTTTAACTCCTCGGCCGGCAGATGAGTTAAAGGGAAAAACTTTTGGCATTGTTCACACTTCTTGACATAATTCTCGGCATCTGTTCGCATGGTCGGCCAATAATACCCCTGTGTTACGGCTCGGTAGGCCAATGAGTGTCTGCCAGAATGGGCACCTCAGCTACCTTCATGTATTTCGGCCAAGAGTTCCTCAACTTTACCTGGGTGAACACATTCCAAGTACGACCTAGAAAGTTAATTTGAGCTGGTTTAGAAGAGGTGATGCTCGGCTCTGAGATGAATCCTACTTTGATTGTTCATTAGACTTCTGAGTTAATGGCGGAGGCTAGGCAAGCAAGGGCATCCGCATGCATGTTCTGATCCCCAGTTATTTGGTTCAATTCATGGTGGCCGAACTTCGTGAGCAAGGAATTTGTTGTTTTCATGCAGGCTACCATGCGATCATTTTTAGCTGCATACTCTCCTTTCAACTAGTTGATCACTAGTTTTGACTCACAGAAAACGAGCAACTGCCGCACACCAAGGTGAAGTGTGTTACGAAGGCTGGTTAGGAACACTTCATATTCGGCCTCATTATTTGATGCATCAAAGCCTAGTTTGACCGCCAACTCAATTATTTCCCCTTCGAGGGTCATGATTACTATGCTTGCCCCACTGCCACGTTGGTTGGATGACCCGTCACAGTACATTTGCCGAATGTCTCCAACATATATTCGCCACTTGGGTTTAGGTTGCACTAGAAGTCGGCATGGCAGGTCATGAATTCGTCTACAGAGTCGGCGAGCACTTACCCCTTGATAGCAGTTCTAGGCAAAAGTTGGATATCATGTTGGCCAAGTTCCAAAGCCCATTTTGAAACTCGCCCTGATGCTTTTGCTCTACGGAGCGCTGACCAGAGGGGATAGTCCGTTAGTACCCCTATGGTATGGCCCTAAAAATAATGCATCAGTTTTCTTGCAGCCATCATGAGAGCAAGGGTGAGCTTTTCCAAAGGTGGATAACATGTTTCGGCGTCAACCATTGCTTTGCTTAGTAAACTGGTCGTTACTCCCCGAGTTCTTCCCTTAAAAGTACAGTGCTGACCTCTTAGTCGGATACCGCCAGATACAAAATAAGAGGAACGCCTGCCGAAGGGGTTACCAAGAGAGGTACTGATCGGAGGTAAGTTTTCAAGCCGTCCAAAGCGGCCTGGCACTCGACGGTCCATTCAAAAGCTTTGCTCTGCAGAAGTGTCTGAAAGAATTGTCGGCAGCGATCTGTGAAACGACTAATAAACCTGTTGAGTGCGGTGACCATTCCCATCAGCTTCTGAACTTCTTTGACTGACCGAGGAGAGCCAAATCCTAGAATTGCTGTGATCTGCCTTGGCTTGGCCTATATTCCGTGGTGGTTGACAATGTAGTCGAGAAATTTTCCGGATACGATGCCAAATGCACACTTTAAGGCGTTCAGTTTCATATTGTACTTTCGTAGAATGTCGAATATCTTTGCCAAATTGGCTAGATAGGCATGTTTTTCCTTGGATTTCACCCCCATGTCATCGATATATACTTCCATGGTGCGGCTGAGCTGTTCCTTGAATATGGCAGTAACTAGTCTCTGGTAAGTTGCCCCTGTATTCTTCAGCCCGAAAGGCATAACCTTGTAGCAATAGGTTCCTCTTAGGGTGAGGAATGCAGTCTTTTCTTGATCCTCCAGATGCATGGCAATTTAGTGATATCCTCTGTAGGCGTCCAAGAAGCTCATGCGTTGATGATATGCCATTGCATCTATGAGTTAGTCAATTCTGGGGAGGGAAAAACAATCTTTGGGACAAGCTTTGTTCAAGTTTGTGAAACCGCCAAGAACCATTCTTCTTCTTTACAACCACGATATTGGAAAACCATGTAGGGTAAGTTACTTCGCGAATTGCCCCGGCATCAAGCAATCGGTCAACTTTTTCGACAATGGCCGAAACATGCTCTACGGCTGACCGCTGACTTTTCTGAATGATTGGCTTACATTTTGGATCAACATTTAAGCGATGCTGGGCCACAAATGGATCCACCCCCGACATCTCGTATGGTGTCCACGCAAATACGTTGAGGTTGCTGAGTAAGAAGGATACAAGCCCGCGTCTGTCAACTTCGTTTAAGGAAGTGCCGATCATGAAGAACTTGTCAGGACTCCCATTGATTTCGATCCGATCCAGGTCTTTAGTTTCTTTTTTGTTGGGGATTTTCCCAATGTCCTCGAGGCTCTCCCGATCCAGTACTTCAATCGAATTCACTTCCAGTTCCTTTGGCCTCTTTGCAACAACAACAAGGTAGCATGCTTGTGCCGATTTTTTAGAACCTCGAATTTGTTCAATGCCATACTCAGTTGGAAAGCGGAGTAATTGATGGTAGGTGCTCAGCACAGCTTGCATAGTATGCAACCAAGGTCTTCCCATGATGAGAATGTATGGTGACGAAAGTTTGACAACCAGAAATTCTACGTCTAGTAATCTGGTGCCCACCCGAACTGATAGTGTGATCTTACCCAAGGGATACTCGGGGTTAGTGTTGAAACTGAATAATAGATAATTGCCCGGAAAAAAATTCGAGTCAGTGAAGCTGAGTTTAACAAACGTCTTGTAATACATTATTTTCGAAGTGCTTCCCTAATCAATGAGAACACATTCTACTGTGAATCTGTTCACACGTAGCTCGACGATGAGGGGGTCGGCGTGGGGAAGAGTTACTCCAACTAAGTTGGTGTCATCGAAGCTAATCCTCCCAATTTCATGGTGCCATTTGGCTGGTGTGATTGGCTTATGCAGGCTTGGTTGCAACTGAATTGTACGTACCTCGGCTGATGACGGCAGGTTGTATATCATGTGAATTACATCAAGTGGAGGTGAATCCGGCAGTACGGCTACTACGTTCGATAGATTGTTCTTTCGGATGTGTTGCGCCAGCCAGCCGTCTTGTACCAACTCTTCCAGGTGGTCCTTCAGTGTATAACAACTGTCGGTATCATGGCCATGGTCCTTGTGATATTCGCACCGCTTATCCCTTATCCTTGTATTAGGAGGCCCCATCGTTTTGGACGGCCATTTAAAGAACGGAAGGTGTTGGACTTTGAATAAGATCATGCTGATTGGCTCCGCCCATTCCGTATACTTCTTGTCCGAACGTCTTGTGCGCCTGCTATCCACTTGATATTGTTCATTGGATCTGTGTGAACACTGATCACTTGAAGGGTGCATATCACGCCTTTTGTCTTGTTTAGCCCGATTTCGCGGTTCAGGGCTCCTTGATGGCAAGATGCTTATTGGCTGAACGAGGCCAGATGGAGTTATCTTAACAACTTTTTGTCCGGCTTTGATCCGTAGGGCATCGTCTTCCACTTTACAATATTCTTCGAATTTTTTCATTAACGCCCAAACTGTTTTGGGGGCTCGTCTGGTCAATGAACTGCGTAGAGGACTATTAGGATGTAATCCCATCTTAAAGGTGATAATCGCCATGGAGTCATTGCAGGCATCATCCACTAGGTTGAAACATTTCCAATATCGCGCTGAATACTCGCGGAGGGTTTTTTCTAGTTTAATTTACATTGCCCAGAGAGAGTCGGCTTGCTTTGGCTGAACTTTGTTGGTAATGAATCTTGCTCTGTGAAAGCTTTTTATTGATGCCGGCTCCAGTTTATAGTACCATCTAACGGCCAACGGTCCCAGGCTACTTGGAAACATTCGACACATGAGGGCTTCGTCATCAGCATACAACGTCATCGTTTGATTGTAATGGTGAATATGGTTGATGGGATCCGATTTTCCATCATACAGGGTGAATGGCAGTGCTTTGAACTTTTTAGGCAGCACAACCCTTCGATGCGTCGTACGAAAGGGTCATGCTTGTCTTCTTCATCTGAATCATCACTTTCTTTCCCTTGCATGTGCCTTAAGTGTAGACTCTTTTAGATGAGTTGGATACATTGACTCGTCCCCTCTTTCTGAGCTCCTGGGATGGTGAGTCAGAGTTGCTGCCATTACCTTGTTTCCGAAGTCGATGTTGTCGATCATCCTTCTTTCCTGGAGATTGACCCCGGTCAAGGCATGTGGCTTGTTGGGATTTGGCTACCTCCAAGGCCAATTCTTTACGTAAACGCTTGTTATCGGCCGCCATATCTTCAAGGCGTTGCTCATTTTGTTTTGCTTGATCCATGATTGTTTGCATATTCTCCTGCATTGAGGTTGAGGGTGAGGTTTGACCTACGGAGTCAAAATTCAGGGCCCTTCTTACGGCAGTATTCTCCGGTCCAAGTATGTTTCTTGGAGTAACATCATCTCTTGGTGTAATATCGTCAGCAACAAGCAAAGGATCATCTGTTATGCCTGCCATGAACATACTTGAGTATTCCCATAGACAACGCCAATTGTGGAGAAGTGGTTTGGAAATACTCCTGAATTCAGTCAGATGTCCGTGATCCTTTGATTGTTACTTGAAAAAGGGTTGAACACTCCGATCGGGGGTGCCAGAATTAGCACTTCGATAGACAAGTCAGTATTCTCTCTAGTTTACTTCTATTTCAAGTTCTGTCCTCTATTCTCACATACCTGCTTTAGTTGACATTCCTCCCTTTTTATATTACCTCTGGGCCTGAGGATCGGACCCACTCTTGATCTCGCATGTAGTTACCTATTTGGCCTTCCTATTAAGTGTTGGCTCCTGTTTGGCTCCTTATATGGCCAACTCGTTTATTCGGCCTTATGTCCTTGGTCAAGGCCGAATTACTTTAGCCGGATGTCAATCAAAGTCTGCCTCTTCCTAATTGAAACTATTCGGCCCCCACAATTACATATTCTGGAGACATGTAATTACTGCAACCCAACATCATTGTTTTGGCAATAATATATATATATATATATAGAAAAAAAAGAAACTGTGTCCAATGTGTTTATTTATTTATTAATTTTCATGAGAAAAATTAAGACATGAAACCATTGAGAGCAATAAGCACCACATTTAATTGGCAAAGGAAAAAAATGCATGCTTTTATATGAGATTATTGTACTCATTATTTCAAGTTCAATAAGTTTACGTAGCCTCTCTAATTTGCCCAAAAATTTATCAATTACCGACATGGCAGCTTATCTCCATATGGACATTGTTTTTATTTAAAAGGAAAAATATATATATATACAATAACATAGCCTTAACATAATTCAATTAATTAAGTTATCAATCTATATCACTCGTATGAAGAGAGAACAAATTTATATGAATCTAAATAAGTGATTATTAATAAAACCCACATACCTTAAAAATAAAAATAAAAAATAAAAAAAAGTGCCTCACATAAATTACTAATTACCAATTAATCACATAAACAGTTTACAAAAAGTATAAATACCTCTTTAAATATCAACATTTTTTTTTCACCGATACCCCAATATAGATATTCAATCTCAAAACAGATAATTTATTCAAATTTCCCAAAGGTGTGAGGTAATACATATCCAACTCCACCATCTATATCAAAGTCTATCCAATTTTATCTTTACAATATCAATTTCATTTATTTACACAAAATACATACGCGAAATATTCTAGGGCAAACTCCCCTCTTCCCAAATATCAACCTAATGTCAAAATCAACTATTTTGTCATACTATAACCTCATATTCAACCCCATAACCATTTATAACTCATTTTTCTTAGAAACCCCTCTTTTGATTTTAAACCCAAACCCTAGGTTTGTTCATAATACCCCAAATTTCGCCATTTTTACACAACAACCCATAACTAATTTAAAAGCTATATAAAAGTGTAGAAAATCCCTACCTTGAAGTTAGGAGTTGAGCAACGCAAAAGGGGAAACTCCAACGACGCCAAAACCAACTTCTATTCTGATGAAAACGAAGATCTTGAGATGCTCTAACTTTTTAACGAAGGCACTAAGGTAGAGAACCTACTAGATCAAGGAGAAAATGTAGAGAGAGAGACAGTGTTTAGAGAAAGAGAATGAAGATCTAGGGTTTTTGAAAAGTTTTAGAGAGAGAGAGGAATGAAAAAATGAAGCAAAAAGTCATCTTGACGAATTGATATACACGCAGTCCGTTCAAGCGCGAGAGTTGACGTTTGAGTGCCAGACACATTGTTCCACTCGAGCACAAGAAGTGACCCTTGAGCGCAGAATACACATTTTCAGAAGTATGCAAATGAGGGACATCGCTCGAGCTCAAGATTGGATGCTCGAGCGCCCAATCGCTCGACCGCAGGAAACGCCGCTCGAGCATGGAATACACACCTCCAGTATTTTGTAGGTCTGCAAAAATATTGAGAGTTTGCAAAGCCTGCTTGAGTGCAAGAATCGCCGCTCGAGTGGAAAAGAAAAGCCCTGGGCAACAAAGGTACGAAAATCAAGCAACCAACCTGTTCCAAACAAAGCCAATGCCATCCAATAACCCAATATAAGGAAGATTAAGAGGAAAAAGACATGAACAACCATACGAGTGTATGAAACCCGATTCCAAAACACAAAATGGTTCGGGTTTAAACCAGAAACGCTATAAGAATGCTTGTTGTTGAGGAATTAATAGAGTAAAAGAGTAACAGTTAAGCATTACAACAATCGTTGTCATAGAAGGTCTAACATTTGGATCTTCTTGGACGCACAACAAACCAATAGGAATGCATCTAATGACTTCATTTCCTAAATACGACCCTTCCAAAGTAGAATTGATCAATTCTAAGGGTCTTTTATTCCTCTAGAGTTTCCAAGCCTGCAATAATACATTATATATGATTTTGTCGACGTCATGATTTTGGTACTGAGATCGAAAATAATAGTTAAAAGGTTTAGTTATCATTTACATAGCTTAGAAGGTCCTCTGCATATCCTGATTGGTAAAAGGTATTGTTTTTCATATCCACAGGCATTCAAGCAGATATATCAATTAAGCACTTAGCCTCATGGCAAACATGTTAGACATGGTAACAATCACACTCATGCAATATGCTAAAGAAAATAAAATGCTCACTTAGTACTCTGAGGTGAGCCAAAGGAAACAAAGAGTTAGAAAACATGCATGCTCCTAACTAATGCAATATGACTAATGCAATGCATGCGATATGCAACTAATAAGCTCGGCTACTAATTATGACATGTGATTCAATTTGGTAGCATGCGCTTAACACATATTCAACGAAGTATGTAAATTACAATGCTTTGTTTAGAATGATGAACTGAGCCCCAATGCATGCAAGACAAGTGAATGCAAACATGAGAAATGCTAAAAGAAATATGATATTCTAACTACCCATTATAAGCAAGTAAATAAAAGGGAGAAAGACGTGGCGTTGGAAGACATACACATTATTACATGTTTGCCCTCACTTAGGAGGGTTCGAATAAACTAACTAGCTAAGTTAATTACTACGAATTAACTAATTTATTACAAACCGAATAAACAAACTATGCTAGCTAGTTATTACAAAACCAATTAATTAATTAACTATTTTGTGGAACTAACTAATTAATTAAATACAAATTAGAATTAGCTTAATTAATTACAACATGAATACAACATGAAAGAAGTAACTAAGCTAATTCTAAATGGCCAACTCATGAATACAACATGAATACAACATGAAAGAAGTAACTAATTAGCCTCTGCTTTGTTTTGTTTCAAAAAGTTGCTACTCAATTTGGAAAAACTGGCTGGCAGGCTAGAAGTAGTGGTCGGCCGGCCACAAATGGTAGCCTGTCATCCAAAAGAAATGGCCTGCCAGCTACAAAAAGTGGTCGGCTTGCCACTGAAGCTTGGTTCCTCCTATTGCAATGGAGGACAAACAGAGCACAAACAGAGCATGCTCAGGGGATGTTTGTACACCTTACGCCTCCTTATTATCAAATAGCTCAAAGGAGTGGCAAGCTCAATTCGCAAGCCATGAATTGATACAATTTCATTGCATGATGGCCTATGAACCAAGGTGTGCAATTTCAACAAATGCACAATAAAAGACTCTCAAACCTCCTTCCTATCATGGATTGATCAAGGGAAGTGGTTGACCTTGGAAACTTGAACTATTTCATCACTAGCAAGTATGAAATGCCTCAAGTTTCCATGTGTTCAATTAACGTTTGATTGAACACCAAATTGCTTATTATCTTGCATCATTTTAGTCCCAATTTTATTACTTCATTTTAATTACCAACCATTCCTTAATTCATTAAGTCCAATAGTGATCTTTAAGTCCTCTATTGGAAAGAAATATCAAACAAAGTGTTGTTTTGGGCATGAGAGAGACACCATGCCGTTGGTAATGAACCCCGAAAGGGATTAAACCATTAAGCACAAAAGCTCAATCTCATGCTTAAACAAGCAAGCAGTTTGAGACAACTTTCAAAGCAAAGAAAAAGCTAAGAAAGGAGGGAGGTTGAAGAAGTGATTAGAGGTGATCACAAGTATGGAAAGCAAGAAGTAAATGCTATCAACTCAAATAGGTTGGTGCCTAATACCTA